AGAAACCTGACATGCAGTTAAAAGCCCTATGCATGAACATGTAATTCCATTACTGGTAAAACCCAGCTGAAGTCTTTCCCGAGTCATGGCCAGCCTCGCATATTCGGGAACTTGCTAAGAAAAGGCAAACCTCCAAGCATGTCAGGTGCCTCTGGGAAACACACTGAATTGGGTTTTTTTTGCTTCACAAATTTATTCAACATATGCTTCTATCATCCCCGAAACTCTATTCTGATAGTATAAATTTGTAAAACCTGGCTGAAAAGACAGACTCAAGAGCACATTGTTGTGGAGAAACACAGTTTAACCAGCAAATCAAGCTGAACAGCGACTGTCTTGCACAGGATGATAGAGGATTTTGCTATAGAGCTGCTGAGTGGCACCTGATCCTGCTGTCAGTGACAACCCCTGTCCTCTCTGAGAGGGTGGGAATTGAGCCGAAGACATGAACACCTGAACCTAGGCTTTTATTAGTGTGCTAAGCTGTCTTGGACAATGGCCAGAATAGCGGGACAGGGGAGGGCTAGGTAAGGTTTTATATTGGCAAGGGGTTATAAGGGGAGGGGGCATAGTGGAGGTAGATGTTTGACTGCAGCCAGAGGTGATGTTTAAATCCATTGGCAGGTTCGGGTTTTTTGGTGGGAAGGACTAGAGATGGGAGGGCTTTGTGGCAGGAAAGTTGGGTCATTGTTTCCCCAGAGTGATTTATTATCTGCCTGGAAGAGCCATTTAGGATGTGGGGTTAGGGCCATTTTATCTAGCAGGGAACTCTATCATCCCAGACTTGTGTTATTATGGGATAGGGGCAAAGGTCTCCTTTTCTTTCTCTTTTTTTTTGTACCACGGATTGCACTTGGGCCCTTGCATTTGCAAGGCAGGCAGCAGAACTACTGAGCTAAATCTCCAGGCTTGTGTCTTTTTCTGTATCTGCTTCCTGCTGGTAAGGGGCATTGGGAAGGGCTGGGGGTGATGGATAGAGTTTTATGTGACAGTGGTGTGGTCCTCTGTGGCAAGGGGCTGGTAACTGGCCATGATGCGTTTGCAAACTGTCTGGTTGGTAAAGGCCTGCATATGCTCCTGCAAGAAATTTAAAAAAAAAATGGAACAGACAGGGTCTGAACAGTAGGATTATGCAGAGAATAGTGGGGGAACCAGAAATGGAAGAAGCCATGGAAGCCATTGGTCAAAGTATCCTGGCAGAGAGTAGCAGGACTAAGTTGTCTATGTTTTTCCATGCCCTCCCTGAGTTCCTTTACCTTGTCTCCAACAATGCCAAATTGTTTTACAAAGTAGCAGCATTCTGCCCATAACAGGAGGCATGTTCCTCCTCTTTCTTCTGTTATGTCCAGGGTCCATCTATTCTGGATAACCACGACTGCCAAGGAAATGATTTGGGACTGCAGGGTGACCAGAGAGTCAGCTACCTTTTCCATATCTTCATTTAGCTCTTGGGATAGGGAGTAACAGAAATCTGTCGATGTTGAGATTCCTGCCAGAATACTGTCTCCCATCAGAAAGGGAAGTACAGGAGTAGCGCACTTATTGAGGTGGTGGTAGGTGGTTGTTGTGAGGGCAAAACTTGCTGTAATAACTGGGTTTCTGTATAAACTGTGAGTGGAAGGCTAAGGAAGTCTACATAACAGAGGGAAGACAGGCTCGAGTTGAGACAGCAAAAAGCTCGGGAGTTGCAGGGGTAAAACAAACCATTAGGAAGACAGGTCATGCCTGACTTGCGAACATGGATAACTTTAGGCAAAAGGGTAGAGTTGTACTGATTTATGATGGATGAATTTATACGGTTCCAATCACCATGTGTGGAGGGTTTTAGTTGAGTTGCAAAGGGACCTAACATTGTGGTATTTTCAGGGACAGCGATAGTCCAGTTAAGGGGAATTGGTATAGGGACATATGGCTGGAATTGGGGTAACAGGCACATCCAGAACTCCGTTTGGTTGCCTGGCAAGCTAAGTAGGGTGGTGCTGAAGACATGCAGGCGCCTTTTATGTGTCTCAACCACTTTTTTAAGGGACTACAGATCTTACAAGGAGGAGGTGTTTTAAGAGCTTATGACCTGAGTTTTCTACCTCTTTTAGCTGTTGTTTTGTGTCTGATCTTGTACACCCCCTCCATTTGACATTCCCCAGGGGGTAGTCAGCATCCAGCAAGCCCACGAACCCATCTGAGAAAGGGACAATCCATCTTCCAATGACCTTTCTGCTTGCAAGCTGGGCAAGGGCTGGGAGGTGGACTAGGATTGGGGCAATTCCTTGCTCAGTGGCCAATTTGACTGCATTTAAAACAGGGACCTGGAGGCATCCCAGTAGGTGGTTTATTTATAGCCCCTTTAGTCTTGGGGCCCTGCTTTGAGCCATTTGAGCCATACAGGACACTTGAAAATATTTGGTATTTAGCCTTATCTTGAAGAGCCTTTTCCTGTTTTTCCTGATCTTCTCTTCCATTATGTACCTTAAAAGCTGTATTGAGGAGATCCTGCTGGCTTACCTTTGGACCCTCCTCAATCTTTCTTAGTTTTTTCTTAATGTTAGCGGCTGAGGAGAGGTGAGTGTTAATGACAGTCATGCCAGCCTGGGAGGTATGATCAATTTTGGTGTATTTCTGAAGGGTCTTACTGAGGCAGGACAGAAACTGTGTTGGGTTTTCTTCATGAGTCTAAATTATTTTGCTGATCTTATCAAAGTTAACAGACTTCTAGGCTGTTTTTTTGAGGCTTTTGATAAGGCAGATAATCATGTGGTCTCTGCGGCCCTGATCTGGCCTAGCTGATAGTCCCATTGGGGATCTTCCCAGGGGACAGCCTGTGCTCCCATTGGCTTGGCATTATCTGCAGCATGAAATTCATCTGCCACAGCCTGGGCTGCCATCCAGACTCTTTCCCTGTCCTCCGGAGGGAGAGTAGAAGTTAATATAAATATCATGCTAAGTGAGATGATAGGAGAGAGTCAAGTAACAAAATTATTTGATACAGAAGTCAGGATCAGAAGAAAAAGAACCAAGATGTTTCAATTTGAGAAAGATCTATGAGAGAAAAAGGGACATGGACCCTAACAATGCCTTCTGTTGTTCCTGCCACTTCCTGGAGAGGCATGAGCATGGCAGGAGGGGCTGAAGTGAGGGTATCGGGCATCAGGGTGAGGAGGGAATGGGCGGAATGGTTGTGGTGAGTGAGAGCACTGTGGGGAGGGAGAGCTTGAGGGAGTGGTTGAAGGCACCAAGAAGGAGGGACTGTAGGGTGGAGGCTGAGTGAGAGGGTAGGTGGTCAGCCAGATCAAAAGTAGTCATGTCTGAGTGTGGGCTGAGATCGTGGGTGGGGGATGAAGCCTTGTGGGCAAGGAGAATTTGTGGGGTGGAACAGAACTAACAAAGAGAAGGGCAGGTGTGGTGGTAGATGAAAGCTTATAGAGGGGGGACTTCAGACATTTGCCATTGTGACAACAGAAGGTAAGGAGTTCCCAAAGAACATTTAGGTCAAATGTTCCACATTCTGGCCAATGAGACTCCATTATTTAATCTATATAGAGGCCACACTTGGTTGCAGTAGAAAATAAGCCATTTAGGCTCGGTGTCACCAGTGAGCCCAAGAGTTTTTAAGTTAGTCAAAAGGCATCCCAAAGGGTTTGAATGTGAGGGTTTGGGTCAAGCAGTTCCCATAATGAAAGGAGACTGGATATAGGGTGTATATCAGACAAGGTCCCGAGGAGAAAGACAAGAGGGAAAAGAGCGCTTGGCCCCTTTGACTATCTCCGGAGAGAGTGAGAGGCTCCAAGCTGATGGGGTGTCTGCCAGGGGAAATGGTCCTGGCAGGCCAAGGAGTCCATCTGACTTAGCACTAAGATTTTATTTGAGTGGGAACACAGATGTAGGGGTGGGGAGTAGTCTGCGTACTCACCCAACAACTGAAGGCTGGTGTGGATGTGAGTATCAGCAATGCTTGGCAGGGTCGGAGAAGGACAGTTGGAAGGCCATTGACCCTGACCATCAGGGCATCTTCCCAAAATCCTAATCATGTCATTCCTGGGTTTCGGCAACAGAAATGAGAGGATGGAAATTGAGATGAAGACTCGAACACCCAAAACTAGGGTTTTATTAGGTGGATGAGTTGTAGAGGACGAGGTGTGGGCTATCTCAGTGATGGTGAGAGCAGAGGGGCAGGGGTGTGCTAGGTGAGGTTTTATATGGGCAAGGGATAAGGGGAAGGGGCATAGTGGAGGTAGATGTTTGACTGCCGACAGAGATGATGTTTAAATCCATTGGCAGGTTCAGGTTTTCGGGTGGGAAGGACTAGAGGTGGGAGGGCTTTGTGGCAGGAAAGTTGGGTCACTGTTTCCCCAGAGTGATTTATTATCTGCCTGGAAGAGCCATTTAGGATGTGGGTTAAGGGCCATTTTATCTACAAGGGAATTCTATTACTCTTTGTCTTTCTCTCTCCAGTTCTTTTTCTTTCTACTCTCCCTTTATTCTTTTCCTTCCATTCCATTTTGCTCCTTCTACTTCTGAATTAACCTGCACGGAGGTTGCTTAATCAAGCCCATGCTGCAAGAGATTGTAGGGCTCTATAAAGCCACTGGGGAAACACTGTCCTGTTATCACTTTAAATTCAATAGACAACTCAGATGCTCTGAGAGCATCCAACAGTTTCAAAGAAGTATGGAGGAATTTAATATTGGGGAACTACTTCAGGTCGTAAGGAAAGTCATTTGTAATTTGCTGCTTTTGCTTTTTAATGATTTGTCTTCAAGGCAAGAAGATTGCCTAAACAAAATCAGCTGATAAAGTCACAAAATGATTTCTCCTCTGGAATGAGCTTCATTTTCTTTTGTTTTGGTAAGAGATTTGCCTCTAAACTGCGAATGCACATCACTCTACCCATTCAAGGGCAAATTGATAATGTTCTGTTACACCATGTGGCGAAGAGAACCTGAGACAACCAAGGTCAGAAATTCTGTGCTTCAAGTCAAAAGACATTTGGGTTTGCTTGTTTTGACTTGCAACTACATATCTGTCTTGCCTGATCACATTATAAAGCAAAGCAAAGTCACTCCAGTAGCATCCTTGGAAGCAACGGGAGCCACAGAGAACCTCATAAGGGTTCTCTCACTTTTCTGCCTCTTGATTTCCACAGAAGGTTAAACTGCTGCCTCTGACACCCAGCACGGCAGCATGATTTTGGAAATGCTGAACCAAATACACTGTAAAGTCACCAGCATGATGCCTGTAGTCCTGCCTGTTGCTGCCATGCTAATCCTGCTGCTCGTGGCCTTCCTCCTCTTCATCTGGAACTGTGAGAGCGCAGCCTCAATTCCAGGTCAGTTGCTTGTTTATTTCTGTGTTTAAAGATGTTGTTTCATTGGGCCTTTGTTCCATGATGACAAGGAAAATTGGACAAAAGTATAAAAGCAAACTTGGTAAGATCGCTGAAAATCAAAGCCTTGATAGCAAAATGGGACTTAGGCAAAAACTTAACCCAATTATCTATACATTTTACACTACAGCATTTTAAAATGTCTGAGAAAACTGCTTCCTGTCCTTCCAGCACTTTGGCAGATTTAGCACAGCTTTAGTTGGGGCAAAGCAAGATAAAATTGTAGGGAATTAAAATTTTTTTTAAAGATTCAAAAGGTGGGAGTGTCTCTGGGATGTCTTCTGTCCTGCGGCTTTCTCCTCCCTCACTGCTTCGTCCCACTCTTCCTATCTTGTATTTATTCCTAGTCTTCATATTCTCACAGCAGCAACACGGCAATGGTGGGTTAGTCAGGGGGTCTACTGGGACCTGAGTAGTGAGAGAAGTGTGGGGGGTCCATTCCATTTTCCTCGGGAAGTCACACCCCAAAAGAATCTTCAACCAGGCCTACAGGTCAGGCAAAAGAGGAGAATACCAGAACGACACAGATTATACCCTAATTTTCCACTGTTACAGCTGGAATTACTTGGTATCACATTGGTTCTAAACTATCAGACGTTTCAGACAGTTTCTTTAGTTGTCAGTGGCCCTCCCTCATGGCAGGCAACTGTTCCCATAAGACCCCACAAGCTTTGTTGCAAGAGCTTATTCATTAGACACTTTTATGTGTGGTGAGCCTCAGGATAGGGCGACTGAGCATGGGAACAAAGCCTGGTACAAAATGCTCCCTGGATTCCTTCAAAATATTTCAAGGAAACAGCCTGTCTGTTGCATTCAGCGTGGAAGTGTAGGTTCATCGAATGCTCAGGTGAATGGACTATGTAGTAAATGACCTCCCTGGGGTCGTCTCTGGAGAAGGAAGCTCAGGTTTGAGAAAACTCTTCCAGCATCTTTGACTTGAACTCCCTTTTCCACTGTTCAAGTCACTCAGTTGAGTTCTTCTTCTCCCTGCAGTGGACTCTTTGGTCAGGGTCAGTGAATGTCAGGGTACAGAAGGGGAGGAGGTGGTGGAATGCTTCTTCCTTCCCGTTACTGTCACAGGCTCAGGGGCTGAACTCCAATCTACCTGTATTATCAGAGGTCTCACAAGGAGGAGGAAGTCGGCACTGCCCATAGCAGGACTAAGCCCGAGGTTCTCAGCCTTTTAGTGTAAGAATCACCTTGCAGCTGGGGGATGGATATCCTGACCCCTGGGCTGTGCTCCAGAATTTTGAATCAGACTCTCCAGGCCCGGGAGCTTCTGTTTGTTGTTGTTGTTTTAAAAGACCCGGTCTCTCCACCCCCAGATGCTTATGCTGTAAGCTCAGGCGGCGCTGCTGTGGAGGCTGTGTGAGGAGTGGCTGGGACTGGGAGGGGAGACCGCCCTCCCCGTCCACCACTTCTGGGCAGGGACGTCACGCTGTCCACACATGCTCTCCTCCAGCCCGGGGAAACGAGCACTTCGCTGGCCAGGGAGTTCCTTGCTTCCTTTCACTCTGAAAATGTAGGATCTGGCCAGAATCCTCTTGGGACGCAGATTGAGTTCCTGTGGCTCTTGGGTGGGTGATAAGAGCAAAATCAGTTTGGTAGGGTGGTTCTTGCTGTCCAGTTCTCCCAAACTCGTGCCTTGTCCCTTGAATTACTGCTCCTTGGCTTCTCAGTTTTATACGGTTTATAGCTCGGGGTCATCAAAAGTCAAAGGGCACACAGAAGGCACAACAATCAAAGCCCTGCAGTTGCTGTTGGAAGGCAGTTTCCTGCCTGTTTTCTCTGGTGAGGCCGGTGTATCTGCCCATTTCCTCAATGAAGAACCTGAGACTCAAGGAAAGCAGGGGCTGCACAGCTAACCTGTGATGAAATGCCGACTCAAACAGAAGCTCATTCATGCCTGTCTATGGGGCTGGAGAGTCCGGGTGAGGGCATCTGAGGGGATGGGAGGGGTGTCGTAGACTTCAGGTGGGAGAAGTGCCCCATCTCCACTCATCTTTGTCCAGGACGCACATAACCTGGCACTTGGCAGCTCTCCCTTCGCTGAAGACACACAACCACCCCAACCTTGCACCTGGGACCTCTGCTCTGCGTGCCACACTCTGCCCCGGCAGCACATCCCCACAGTGGGGCCCCAGAAGGAGGACATGGCAACATGTTCCCCTTTGCCCACTAAGGAAGCATTTCACAGCAAAGTGCACAGGGTAATGAGAAGTTTCCACTATGGTCCGAACCAAGAAACAGGATGTTAATAGCAGTCCAGGAGATCTTCCTGTGCCCTTCAGGTTGCTCTCACCCTCACCCTCAAATGTGAATACCTTCCTGGATTTTGTGACAATCACTCTCTGGCTTCTTTATTGGTTGGCCACCTACTCTCACATCTCCAGACAATGTAGTTTAATTTGCCTCACTGAAAAGATTTCAGCAATCAAATCATACGCTGCTTATTCTTTTGTTTCTCTCACTCAGTGTTGTGTTTGCTAGACTCATCCACACTGTGATCGTGGCATGCTGCTGTAGCTCATTTTCACTGTCATACAGTCTTTCATGAACATCTCTACAGTTCTGTGTTCAGAGCAACTAGGATGTGTCCAGCCTGCATCCAGGCTATTTTCGACAGTGCTGCCGGGAACACATGTGGACTCAGGTTTCTAAGAAGATACTGAATGAACCAGCTTCTTGATTAGGACTGTGAAGAGATCCCAGCAGTTGTCTTCAGCGAGGCAGTGTCTGCACAAAAATGTAGTGAATTATTTACCTCTTTGGGTATGACAGATGCCACTGTCATTGCTGCATGCCTACATAAACATCCCCAAATCCGCAAGGCAGAGAGCAGCTTAATGTCAATGCAATGAGAATTATTTCTCTACTGTTTATCCTAAGCCCCCATCTTGGAGTTAGTGTATCTGTCTAGTAGGGTCTTGGTAAATGTTTGTTGGACAACATAAGGTGACTTGCAGTTGCTCCCTAAAGACTCAAACACCAGTTCTCCTCTGTTAGAACATTCATGTTCCCAAGCCAAGCCCAAGGTTTATTGCAATCTCTACTTGCATACTTATTTTTGAAAAATATTTTTCCTTTCATAATTTTTAGGTGTGCCAAGCTTTTTTTTTTTTTTTAAGTGATTGGTGTTAAAAGTTTGCCCAGGCTGGACTCACTGCTTAGGACTCAAGGTTAACTCCTCCCTCCAAGCCTCCCAAGTAGCTGGGACTAGAAGGCGGCATGTACCACGACACCTGGCACACTGACCCTGTTGCGGCTTGCCACTGTCTGCAGAAGCAAGGATGTGACTGGCCATGTACTTAGTTAGAATCAGGTCTTGAGACTCAAACGGTACTCAGACACTGAGCAGACTCAGTGCCTAATTCCTCTGTTCGTAGCTTTATTTTGCCACATGAATTTGAGCTTTAGATTTTTTGCTTAAGCTGAATTCTGAGGGGGTGTGGGGGGGGAGAGAGATCCTTAGATTGAACATTATCTTTGCAGACCTTGCTTCTCCAAGCTCAAAGGATAATTCTAAAGCAACCTAGTTCTAATCCATCCATTCCATCAAGTAGGGAATTAAACCAAAAGCACTTAAACAAAACCAAGCAGCCAAACAATTCTGTCAGTTTGACACTTGCCATGGTTTTCACACTTGTTACCACACAGACCTAAGGACTTGTGTTTGAAACTCACTGACACTGACTAACTCAGGAAGAAATGAGTACACATCCCCCAGTTCACTGAGCCAGAAATGACTGAGAAAAAGAGTTAGTATGATGTGGATGCTGAATGCTTTTCACTTGTGGAGAGGTGAGGAATCGCATGTCAAGCTTGGTTTGTTCTGGTGTTTGTAAATCATTTTGTTACTGATTCACAGATAAGCAGCTGAAGATGTAAAGAACATGTAGGTGAAAAGTGCAAGTATTTTTGGTGTTGCAGAGATGCTGATTATGTTCTGATGACTCTCCTAGGTCCTGGCTACTGTCTGGGAATTGGGCCCCTCATTTCCTATGGCAGATTCCTGTGGATGGGGATTGGCAGTGCCTGTGACTACTACAACAAGATGTATGGAGAATTCGTGAGAGTCTGGATAAATGGAGAGGAAACTCTCATTATCAGCAAGTAAGTGTGTTAATAATCAGAGAAATAGGGTATAGCTCACTGGTAGAGGATTGCTGATCATTTTCAAGGCTCTGGGGTCAATGCTCAGGTCTTAAAACAACAACACAGCACAGAAATACTTTTAAAATCAAGACCAAGATTTTTCCTGATTTAACAAACATTATTTTGATTCCTTGACATCTCTTAAAGCCATTTTTCACAGTTAAATAAAAGTCAGTGAACCAAGATACATCATGTAAAGGTACAGATTCCCAGTAATGAATGTCATCATACTGCATACCCAAAACGTACCAACAAACTGAATGAGTAAAAACATGTAAGTGAATTCCCTCATGAAACTCTAGATCTGTAGGTATATGGAATTACTAGCTTTCTCTTGAGCTGAACCCAAAGGTACAGAGGCAAAGAGTTCCAAAAACCTGGGAAAGTATTAAAACATCTCTTAATGTACAAACTTGGGCTTCAGATGCTTTGCTCTTGAGTAAATATACTTTACAGAGAGGCAGTAGCTTTTTGGCTTTCCTGAGAGTTTGACCTTATCTCCATGAGCAAGCTCAACAAACAAACAAAGAACAAAAACCCACAGAAAACAAAACCTGAGAAATAGGTATGTGATTAGTAGTTTTCTAGTGTGTTTCTAATACTAGGTTACTGAGGACCTCTGAGATAGAAGAGAGTAGAAAAAGAAGTGATTTGGGAGCCGCTTGCCCATGTAGCACTGTTTGAATGAAACAGACATATTGCGTGCTAAAAAAAATGATGTTCTCTCTTCTGTATCATTTTTTTCTGGATTAGTGAAGCAGACTGAATTCACTCTAGAGATACCCAAAAATTTATCAAAAGAGAAGAACAGACATTACGAATCCTAGTTTTCTTCTTTATTGAATTTAGCTCCTCACAAAGCTATCTGCCAACACTTTCTTATTAATAACCTTTACAGCTACAATTCCTGACAGAGCTTTACCCACAAACCCAAGAGACCAAGGTGTTTTACTGCCTTGTTAAATTCCTTCAGCCAGATAGGTAGACTCGCTCAGAGTTAAGTGAAGCACTTCCAGAAGCTGAATTACTTTTCTCAGGCCAAATTACATACATCATTTCATCAAGTACCACAGCGCCCTCCAAGTCCAGTGCCTTCAAGCAAATGCGAAAAAAGAAGAGAGCAGGGGAGGAAAATGCGTCACACTTCCAAATACTTCAGGCTATCCCGTAGTGTTGTGTTCAATCAATCCAATACCTCAATTCTTGCCCAGTGCTTTCCTGTTTCATTGCGTCTGCTGTGGATGGCCACATTTCTTTAGCTACACATAAATGGCTGCTGGTGGAAATGTCATTTCCTCAGGTTTATCGGAAACACTCTAACACAATGGTTCACAGAGCATCCTCCACCGTGCAGCAGCAGCAAACTCAAAAACATGTTACAAATGCACACTGACCTAACTGGGGATGGGACACCCCCCCCACTGCCCCCTGCAGCTGTGTTTTGACAAACGTGCCAGGTGATTCTGATGCACACTCGGAGATGAGATCCACTGCTATAATCACTGGATCATGATTACTCTCTGGTTTTACTTGTTCTGGTCTACTCAGCTCTGGCAAGCCATACTGAAGGAAACTAGAGATGGTCTCATTTTAAAAATCAGTAAATTAGTCTCTTGTAACTGGCTAGAGCCTCAAACACATCCCACAACAGAGGAAATTTGGATTTGGAGGACTTGCACGTTGGCTGCCTTCCAGGCCTCCTCAATTCAAATCCCCCTTCCCTGGCTCCCGCTCCTCTGGGCAAACGGCTGTGTGGTCCTCGGGACTTTCATCCAAAAGGAGGTGAACCTGCAGCTCAGACTCAGTGCAGCGGTTCACGCCCCGCTTCCCAGTGGAGTCCCTGTGGAGCTTCCCAAAGCCCCCCGTGTCTAGGCCCTGGAGATCAGACTCTCTGTGAGTGCTACCCAGACATCGCTGGTGCTTTAGCTCTCCAGGAGATTCCAGCAGGCTTGGAAATCTCCTACCTGGACAGAAGGAGCAGGAAGAAGGTTCTACCAGGAGCGCTCTGTCCTGTGGACTATGGAGAAAGCATAAGCAGGGGGCACCAGCTGTGTCTCACTGCATTGCTCCTGAGTCCAGCTACAGTGGTGGGGGTGAAGCGTGGATTGGACTGAAGAGTAATGGGTTTGGGAACTGAGCACCAGGCAGGAGCCCCTCTTAGACAGTAGACCCTTAGACCATCAGCCCAAAGACTGTTCAGGACACCTGGAATGTCAGGTTGGCATCTGACTACTCTGCCCATCTAACGAGGAAGGCCATGTGAGGGACTGGCCAGCTAAGGCATGGATGCACACAGAGGCGTGCACACACCTGCTGCTGGGCCCCAGCCCTCCCAGTCCTGTTTTTGTCCTGCTGTGCTCTCAGGTTTTTCCCTTGCTGGAGTCTTTGTGTTCCCCTTAATTGCCTCAGAGCAGCTCGATTTTGCTGGTTAAGTGCTGAGCTCCCCCAGGAGTGGGACAAGTTGCTTCCCTCTGCTTTCCTTGCCTGCTCTCCAAGCCGCTTCCAGAACTGCCCGTACCTCTTGAGAAAAGACCCCACTGGGCCTCAGAAACCTTTTGATTTGTATTTTAATAGTTTGCCAGATTTCTTTTTCTTTTGAGAAGTTTGAGGGCTGTACTCATTCCAACTGTGCAGAGACCGCTTTGTCCCAAAGTGGGAGGGACCGCAGGACCTCAGGGGAGAAAGTCAGGCGTGAGGGCTGCTGGCCCACAGCCCCAGCCACATGGAGGCTTGGGAGTTCAGGCCCCTCTGGTCATCTATAGATAAAGTAAGCACAGTTGCCCAAGGCAGCTGCTCCCCAGCTACACTCTACATGACCGTCTACAGATGATAGACATGACTGTTTATGTCCACCGTATGGGCATGTTTTTATGTTTTTGTCAAATACGAGTTCAGTAACTCTACAGAGAGGAATTAGCAATGGACATGTGAGCCAGGGTTATATCTGGCCATCTGTCTTAACCATGTGTAAATCCACAGGGGTTTTGTTTAGCTTTCTATCAATGTATATTAAAATTTATTGCACAGTAAGTAAGTACTCTGTGGTCCTAAGTCTTAATAGTCAACAGTGGCTTGACACTGATAAGTAGATGTTTATGGAGTACTGACCATGTACACCGATACAGTTCTAGACTCTGGGTATGCAGTGGCATTTTATTTTGAGAATACAATAAGCTAAGCATTGCTATCGTCATGCAGCAATATACTGTCAGTATACCAACAATAAAGAAAGAAAATATATAGTCCCGTCATAAGTCACTTAACACTAGGGTAGGTTCTAAGAAAGGTGTCATAATGTGCACACTACAGAGCAGTTCTGCTGAACTTTTTAGAACTTTCAATGCTATGAACAGCCTGCTATGGCATGCATATCGTGGCACCACTGTATTTATAGCATATGTCCGCACTAAGATGGCTTCTATTTCACGTGGCGATACAATGTCCCAGAGCCATGTCACATCTGCAGTCTGTCACTGACAAACAGGTCATCATAAAGAACCTGCATCAAAAGGGTGACCAGCTGTCTCTGTTTGTCTGACACTAGGGGGTTTCTTATGATGAAACTGGAACTGCTAAAACTGGGACAGTCTCTGGTAAACCAGAGTTCATGCTCACACTACTGTCAAGAGGACACGAGCTACCTAGAAAAAAGGCAGGGAAGCTGTGGGCAGAGGAACACTGGTACACACAGCAGTGACCTCTCGGGAGGTGGTCTGAGGCAGGCCTCCCTGAGAGGACAGCATTTGAATTAAGACCTGAAGGAAGTCAGCCATGCAGAACTGCAGAAAGCATTCTCCATGGAGAGAACAGCAAGTGCAGACACTCCGGCAGGAGTCTTTCTGAAACATTCAAGCAACAAATGTCTGCCAGCGTGGCTGAGTGGGAGCACCATGGAAGGGGCCCAGAGAGATGACAAGAAACCAGGCCGTGCTGGGCCCCACAGGCTTCATGGCAACTCTGCCTTGACCCTTTCTGACACAAGAGCCATGGACCAGCTTGAGAAGAGGGGAGACATATCTGGCTCACTCGTGTTTCCACACACTCATAAGGGCTGCTCTGTTGACAATCAGTGGTGAGGGCACGAAGGATGTGGGAAACAGGACCAGCTAGGAAGAGATGATGGCGTCTGGACCAAATGAGGGTGGTAGAGGAGGTAAGATGAGATGAAATTCCAGTCATGGGTTGAAGGTAGTTGCCAGTACCTTCAGGACACAACAGTTTGGACCTTGGACAAGACAGAAAGAAGAGGTAAGTGTTGCCCTGTTTTGCCTAAAGAGCCAGGCAAGGAGAGGACAGAATTGCTAGCTGAGCCAGACAAAGCAAAGGTGGGGTGGGGAGATATCACAGTTAAGATCATGACATTGGACTTGCCACGCCCAGGGAACACCTCAGTGGGATGTTGAATGGGAGGGACTAAGCCTGGGTCCCTCCAGGGTAAAGCAGTCAGAAGCTAGTGAAGGAGACTGAGAAGGCACAGAGAGACTGGGTAGGGAGGCAGGAGGGTGTGGCAGTCTGACAGCCTGCTGAGGAATGCACTTCAAAGAGAAAGGAACTGCCAGGTATCTCAAATGCTGCTACAGACCTGCTCAATGGATGGAGATTTGAATGTTACTTTTGGAGACTTGGTTGGTGAGCCTGAAAGAACTGCATCAATGGATGTTGGGGGCAAGGTCGGACCAGAGGAGGATTGGGGGCGAGGGGCAGTGAGAAAGAGGCAGCGAGAATGGGCAGCTCTTTCAGGAGTTTTCTGTAAAGGAGGCAGGAGGCGGGACATGCTGCAGGGCCAGGCAGTCAAAGGAGTTATGTGTGAGTTGTGGGGAAACAGCCACAGAGCACAGAGGGAAACTTCGGGGATGAGGGAAGAAGTCTGAGCTAGGTGAGATAGGAAGAGGGTCACAGAGCAAGCAGAGGAGGTGGCCTTGAAGCGGATGTGGGAGCTCATCATCCTAACAGGAGAGAAGGCTGAGTGTGAGTCACAGGCCCTGGGGGATGGAGCCTGACGAGGTTTTCTTCTATTTTCTCTGGGAAATCAGAAATTCATTCAACTGAGAATGAGGGGACACAAGACAATCATCATACAGAAGAGCAGAGTGAATGCAAAAGGGAGACAGTGCCAGCTACAGAGGGTCCACGTGAATTTCACCGAGACCTGTCAGCAGGGGTCAGAATATGCGTGCCTGCATACACGTGAATCCCACTGCACCAGCAACTCAAACGAAATGTTGGATTTATCTAAATTTCATCACCGGCTTGGAGTGGTTATAGCCAGGGCTGTCTGTCGTAAAGATTGTTTTTCTCTTGCACTGAGCCTAGAATTTCAGCTGGGTAAATGTCAGAGGGGCAAAGGCATCAGAAAGGTGATAGGAATGAGGGGACCTGATCTAGGGCACAGCACAGGTCTATGAGAGGTGTTTTCTGTAGTTGTAAATGTTTGTTTCCAATAATGTCATCAGCTGACTCCTCTTGTAGCACTCTGAGCCAGCCTGGCCATGGGTTTGTGAGTCGCACAAACGCAGAACTGGGGTGCTTCCTCCCTGCCTCCTCAGAGCTCACTTTGTGGCTACTCCTCATTTTGAAGGGACGACAGTTTGCTCTTCTGCACACATCTTCTGATTTCGTTCAGAGAAGAAGAATGGCCCCAAGTAAGCAGACACCTTCCACTGCCTGCTGTGCCTTCTGAGCTTGGGGACTCAGGGCTGAGAAAGCCGCACTCTCCATCAGCGGGACAACGGTCTCAGCCTGTGCTGCCGGCCGGCCCACGCAGAGCCTGGTCTGTCTGATGGCCAGGAGTTCTCTGCTTACATACATCCAGTCCCACTTCTCATTGTGCTCTGTGGCCAGGAGCTCTTCACTGGCTCTATCACTTCTGCCTAACTGGCTTTCTCTCTTGCCCAGTCAGTCTGAGAGTAACTGAGGTCTTGGCGCCCCCTGAAGGACACGTGGGTTTTAAAATTCAGCTCCTCGGTGACCTAAAAGAGATCTTAGTTTTCTTTGTTTCAGGTTTGAGGTTTCTTTTTCTGTTTATACTTTGATTAGCAGTTCCTCAAAGAAACTGATAGGACAATAGGATTAATGCAGTGTACAAAAGTTCTAGGGGCAAAAGCCCTAGAACACAGAGCTCCCTTTGTACTCTAAGTATTCATATTTTTAGATTAATTTTTGTGAGCAAAGAATATAAACATTAATTTTGTTTTACTTTAGTATGAGGAGGTAAGAGAAGATATTTCACATCTTTTTAATCTAGTAATAATTTAAGTCCTATTTCGTGGCTTTAACATAAGGAACACATTTGAATCGTTAATTGAATTAATCTGCTGGAATGCAGATGGGAAGTATGTAGCTTGTCTCTTTTGGTGTTTACTGTTAGGAAGAGGAAAACTTGTCCAAAACTAAAGTTCACTTGCTGAACATTACCCTCATCAAATAAAAACAATATTTAGCTTACTTATCTCATTAAAAATAAGGCTTTTTCCTGAAATAAACATGAAGGAAATTAGTTATTTATATAACAATTACAATTTCCTTTTCCTCTTATTAGCACTGTAGTTTTTCGGGAGCATGCATTTAAACTTTGTATAAGCATATAAAACTCATCATAAATGTGGGAGTTTCACTAATAGGAAGCCCACGGCCTAGTCCATCCAGCCAGAACAGCATTTTCTAAGGGATGTCTTTTGGCAAACATACCTGAACAACCGTGCTGAAACAAAGTCATCCTTCTGTAGTTCTTTTTGGTGTTTTTAAACTTTATACTTTTACTAGTGCATGTCTACAGCGCGTCAGGGTCACATTCATCCTGGGAAGTGGTTCAGGTACGTGACACATGCTGGCTTCCATGAGTCATTCATTCCCATTTTCTCCTCTCCCTCCTCATTCTCTGCACCTCTGGTCCCTTCTCTCTCACAAAAGACCTATCTCCCTGTCTCCCACTCAAAGCCATCTTCTTAGGAGCTAAGTGTCAATGGTAAGATGAGAGCAAGGGTTAAGACAGATTCTCCAACGCAGTCTGACAGTCAGGTGCATATACTAGAGCAGCCACCGCCACTTTTTGAGGGTTATATGTTCTAAACCTTTCACAGTAGGAAGATTTGCTGTTGAGACATAAACAGCTTGCTGTATTCTGTTCAAGAAGAGAGGAAGGAGAAGGACGTAGCAGAGAATACATGAAAACATGCCTAAATATACAGTTCACTAAATTAAAAAGCAGCAACATATGAAATAAAGATAACACTCACGCTATTTAATGCATCCTGGATTTGCACTGCTGAATACCAGGCAAACTGCATTCTCTAGTGACTCGCCAAGTCCTGTAGCACAGCAGAACCCTGCAACCCCAGAGTCCTTGACATGCCACAACAGAACACAGTGCAGAGGCCACAGATAAGTTCCCCTGCCAACACAGAGAGCCTCCAGGCCCTGCACAGCCCAGGGGTAGAAGTGAAACTGCACTAGTGGTACCCAGACTGACTTTAAGGGAGTGGGAACTTCCACATACAACTGCCGGATCTAAACTAACAAAGCAAGACTTTTGAGTAACTCCAGCTGCCTCCAAATCCAGGGCTCACTCTTGCAGGAGGTGGAACTGTTTCCACTGGATGTAGTTCTATAATAGACTTGCAGCTCTGACTCAGTGGGGGGGTCCCATGCTTGTGACCTGGGATCAGCAAAGACAGGGCAATAAGGAATGATGAGAGCAGGTTTGCTACCTTTTGTGATGAGAAGATTAGCAAGGTTTGCTTTCTTTTCAGGTCCTCAAGCATGTTCCACATAATGAAGCACAGTCACTACATCTCCCGATTTGGCAGCAAGCTCGGTTTACAACGCGTCGGGATGTATGAGAACGGAATCATATTTAACAATAACCCAGATACCTGGAAAGCAGTTCGACCTTTCTTTATGAAAGGTAAGCTGGTGTTGCTACGTTCTTGCGTTTGGTGTATGAATATGCCATTTTTAAAACCATATTTAAAATTTTGCTGTTTTATTGGTTTCATATGATACTGCTAAGAAAGACTTTATACACTTACCATACATTAGACATTGTGCCAAGCACCTGATGACTCAATCCCACACCAACCTCATGGGGTAACTACTTTGACCACCTGCATTGTGCGGATGAGAGAAATGAGGTATACATGGGTCCTGTAACTTGCCCCCAAATCCCACCATTATAAAGGGGGGTCTCTGGGTACATACAGCCCAGAGCCTACATTTATAGCCCCAGCATCGAGCCACACAGTAAATTCATGAGCAGGAAGAACAGATGGACTTATGTCACCCACACTAATCCATGTGTTTTCTGAATCACTGACTGCTGGTGCAGACATTTTTGGGGAGAAAACAACTTGTGAGCGAAATTCGTGAATGTTAGTGCATGGAAAGGGGTGTAAGTGTGGCCCATTCAGTCTCTGAGTTTTGCTTGTTTGTTTTTCTTGTTTTTGTTTTTTGGTACTGGGTATTCAACTCAGGTCCTTGCACCTGCAAGGCAGGCCGCCGAACCACTGAGCTAAATCCCTGGCCCCCAGCCTCTGAGTTTATATTTGAGGAAATAATGTCCTACAGAGGTTGTGACTTTCACTCGGGCAGCACAGCAAATAACCGAGGAGCAGACCCAATTCCATGCCTCCTTATCTAGGGATTTTCAGCCTTTTCGGCATCACACTGGAGATGATGATGTTGGGAACAAACAAGTCAACCTCTGAGGTTAAGTCAAGCACTAGAAAGATAACTGTGGCCTGGAGAGCCTGTCGGTGATGGAGTCTGCAGCTAGCTGGGTTTTAGGCTGACCCTGTCCCATCAGAATTCTTCCCTTCATCCGCCTCCACAGTGAGCCCAGATGCCTCCTGCATGCCCGTTCACACAGGTGGGAGCCGTGCCTCTGTGTGTGTGCCCGCCACGTGTGGATCTCACCCCACAGAAGTGTCCACCGCCAGGACTCAGCTCCACTCTTACGGACCCCAGTGGCTTCATTCCCTGTGGCTGCGGTAACAAACGGTATACACTAAGCAGCTACAGATGACATGTTTGCGATCTTGCACTTCTGCAGATCAGAAGTCAACCATGGGTCACACGTGCCCAGGTCAAGGTGCTCACGAGGCTGTTCTGGAGGCTCTGGTGGGAAGCCTTCTCCTCGCTGCTCCCAGCTTACAGAAGCTACCTGCATTCTGTGGGAGAGGCGCAGTCAGTGCCTGCCCAAGTCATATCTCTCTGGTGCTCCCTCGGTTGTATCACCACATCTCTCTCTGATCTTGACCTCAGTGAAGAGTGTTTCTGTACTTGTGAGGACTCACAGTTTCGTTCTGGCCCACCCTGAGGATCCACACTGCTGTCATTATATCAAGATCTTTCACCTTCATCACCTCTGCCAAGTTCTTGTCTCCATGCAACATATGCACAGTAGCTTGAGAATTACAACCCAGACAGCACGGGAGACCAATTTGTCTGCCTACTACTTGTGCTGCGGCAGATCAATCTCCCCACTCCTTAGGGAACTGCAGAATGGATCTGTGGAAACAGTATAGGAACCAGGCTTCCAGGTTGTGGAACAAATCCCAAGATGGCCCCTAACTAGATATGCAAACTGGGCTATTCACTTGAACTCTTTTCACTTTCGTTACTTGCTCCAGAGAAGATACATCTCACAGAAACAGCACTGTATTCTTATGTGAACAACAAATGATACAATGCTATAAGACCCCATGGCATGCAAACTTTGACATGTGACCCTGGTTTATTTGGAATATGTGAACTAGTATTTAGGAGTAGTTCACGTTCACATCCACATATACCCTCTACCCAGCCTTGCAAGAGTTGTTCCAATCTCTACACTCATACATTTGTTTAACAAGCCATGTTGCCATCATTCAACAGGCACCAAGAATACAGTGACAAGGAACACACGGACCCTGGAAGGTTCAGGCCTATCCAGCACTAAATGATGGCCCAGGCACTATAACGCTGGAGGGATGCACAGAGCTGCACGGCAGACAAATGGGCCACGTAAAGCCCCTGAGGCATCAGGGAAAGTTTAAGGAAGACATGCTAGAGGTATAGCATAGGTGATTCAAAAGCAGAGGATACATCAACATGACAGGTCAGGGACCTGTACCAACATACACGGGAGGAGCCGAGGGGAGGGCAGCACGTCACCAAAGACTCTGCTAAGGCGAGGAGTGGAGCTTATTCAAGAGTTGTGAGGCCTTTCTGAAGAGTTTCAGCAGAGTGACACGAACTGTGTGTCTCAGAAAACCTCCTCTTATCTGAGTGCATGGCAGCTGAGGGCCTGGTGGGTTGAAAGGGACCCTGGTTGTCAGTGGTGAGGAGCCATGAGCTCCTGCGGTGACACGGGGCAGATGGAGCGAGGGAGGCCTCAGGTGTAAGAATCAGTAAAAGAGCTGGGCCTACAGTACTTGGATACTAATCAAAACATTCCTGTGAACTTTTTAGATTAACTCTATATATGCTACATCACATTTTCTAATAAAAATGCTGCAGAACTGGACTGAAATGAAATGCCAATAGAAGGCTGATCGCTTACTGAATGTTCACTCGGTGCCTGATAAGTTTATAATCAATGAGAATTCTAAACATTTCTCATGATAGAGCACTAGCCACTGTCCAGGTGCTCCAGACAGAACAACTGGGTGGTTGGTCGGGTTCACTAATCTACCTACGTTGTTCATTCAGTCTTCTACTTCGCACTTCATTACTTTGTATCGAGGGGCCCTGTGTTTCACTCGTTTGAAGTACGATGCTAAGAAGCAGTTTTCACTGTCATACAGAGCACTCTGTTTGGCGGGGGAGACTGCAGGGCCAGCAACAAATTGCTTAGCACGCCACTGTTTGAGTAAAAGAAATCTGGAAGTAAGCTGAAGAGAAATGAAAATTAAAAGAAGATCACCTTAGGCCCTTTGCAAGACTAGTATTTTATACCTTCAGCAGACCAAGCTGAAGGACCTTAATTCAAATAAAAAGAACCAATTTTGATAGCTACTTAGGTGATAATATACTGCCAGCTGTGGAAACATAAAATAACTATGATCTTCGCCAAATTCAAACTGTCTTTAAGGGAAACGTATACCATAAATATCTTTAAAAATCACTGATTTCTGACTATGATCACAAGTACCAAACATTTCATCTACAATCTCACAAATGATTTGCCAGAGCAGGAAGAAAAGTTTAAATTTCAAATAGTGCCTTTAAAACAATCTTCATCCATTGATTCATATATGTTTAACCATAAAAGGAAGGATGTATTAGTAGAAAATTAGGAAAAGACAGAAAATTAAACAACATAAAAAATTCCACTCTTTTCTTTGAAGCAAAATTGTGAACAATTAAACTCCAAAGAGAAAGAGCTGAAACTGTGAGGTGGTGCGCGCCCTGGAGCGCTGCACATGGCTGATTCTCCTGTGTGTCCTTCAGCTCTCACAGGCCCTGGCCTTGTGCGCATGGTGGCAGTCTGTGCTGAGTCCATCATAAAACACCTGGACAACTTGGAGGAGGTCACCTACTCATCAGGCAACATGGACGTGCTGACCCTCATGCGATGCATCATGCTGGACACCACCAACACGCTCTACCTAGGGATGCCCCTTGACGGTACCTATGTTTCCATTCTTATGACTAGACATCCTGCCCTTTATTAAACAAGGCAAAGAGGGCAACAGTCAGCTAACGGGGACACACACTGTCACACTGCTCTTGACTAAACATTTCTAATTATCCTGAAGGCATTTCCCCTAGTGTGTTTGCCTTGTTCTTTTCTAAGCTGTAAACTTCTATAATGTGGGGTTCTCTTTCATTTGTATCTCTCGTCATTGCTCTAGGAAACTGGCTTCTCTCCCAGTCAAACCTTATTGGTCTAGCTGGTCATAAAGATATCTTACCTCAGCAACACGGACGCATTTAACCCAGCCATGTTCAACCTCTGGCCTAGTAATTTTTTCCTGTTTTCCTTGAGTAAAGAGGAATTGTCTTGGGCTACACATCAATTAATAATATAGTTAATGTATATAAGTAACAAAATTTCCTTTAAAAATCATTTTAACACTTTCAAAAAGAGAGCCGAAAGGAAAAGAAGCCTGACACCATTTCCCACTGTTCCCATGGGCATGACGTAAAAATGACCACATATGTTTATACGTGTACTCACATCCTTCCGCAGATCTACTACATGTGAAAACTTGATTTTCTCTGGATGGTAAAAATGGTAGCAGTGGTAGTAATGCTGCTGCGGATATAAATGATGATGACAGCTGCTGGTAATTTCGTATCCACCGTGTAAAAAGACTTTGAAAATTTCTTTTATGCATGCCTGTCATTTAACATTTGCATGGACAGGATGTCTCATTCTCCTCACTGTGTTGCAGGAATGAATATTAGAACATATGCATGCAGGGTGGGGAATTTAGCTCACTGGTTCCACCACATACTTCGCAAGCACAAGGTCATGAGTTCAATTCCAGGTACCACAAAACAACAACAACAACAACAAATATATATATAATATCCATGTATTTATAAAATACATATGTATTATATATTTATAGTGACAAGGAGCTTACATTCTAGTGGGGATATGGACACAAAACAAGTAAATGTTAAAAATATATGTAGTACACAACTCTCAGTACCTTGAAATAAACAGAAAACAGGGTTAAGAGCACAGAAAGCAAAGGGGACAACAGGAGGGGGTCTGTCTGATGCAGAGAGGCAGGTCAGGCAAGGCCTCTGCAGACAGGACATTTGCACGTGGCCTGAATGAAGTGAGGCCCTGAGCCATGTGCAGACCCAAAGGGAGAATATTTCAGGTAGAAGAACACTGCACAGATTTAAACTCTTCTCAAGCCAGCTGAGTCCTAACACACACTGCCCGATTCACCACGTTTAGATAAACAGACACACCAGAAGCCCTTCCTTTCTCATGCCTAATGCCCTGTCTTGTCTCCACCACTCTGACCAGCCCGTACAGGTGCTGTACTTAAACTGTACCTGACTGGCCCTTGGCAAAAGCCTCCATTCACTCTGACAATTTCCAGTCACACCTTCTCACCTGATCTCCTACTAACCTGTTCTACATATACCTCTGCTCATGCAGGCAGAAACATGACACCGTGGCCTCACTCCTTGGTTCCCCCACAAGCCTCTATCATTAGGAAGGATCCTATGAAAACACTGCTCTGTTATCCTGAGGGTTCAGACTCTGATGCCAGAGAACCTGTTATAACCCCTACGGGGTTCTGCTAATTTCCCTTTATGCTGAGTACTTGTTAAATTCTTGCCTATGGGATTCGATGAGACAAAGAGGAAGGACACTGCCCTGAGATCAGACGGAACCGGGCTCCAGTCTGAGAGCCTATCTGACACACTGGCTGTATGGTGAAGCTCAGGTTTCTTAACCTCAATGAATTGCAGTTTCTTCACATGCAAACTGAGGAAGACACTAAAACTCCCAGGGTGAGATTATAAAGACTAAACTGAAAAATCTCTTTTGTAAAGTACCCAGCACAGTGAGAGTTCAAAACAAATACTGGTACCTTCCCATTTGTATACAACATGATATAATTTTTTAAATAGCAAAGGTTTTCTTTTCTCTAATGTTCAATTTAATTTAAAAGCAATCAGTCATTGCTGAATATGCATGAAGCTCTGGAAAAGATACGGAAGAAATTAAGATGAATTCTAAAGTCTACACAAATATAAATAACTATGGAAGCTATGTGATAGGGCTACAAGACACAGAGTAAAGGACTATGAAGTGGTAATATAATGAGGAGTTATTAATGAGGTGTATAATCCCAGGGAACGGTCCACTTAGTACTGGCTCTGCTTACCCAACATCAAATACAGTGATCGTTTTGGGCCTAACAAGCTCAGTTTTTTGCTCTCCCAGTTTCTACAATCATGGCCACGGCAGCATCAATTACCAGTGCCCTTTGTCCATAAAAACAGGAGAAAGCTGCGGTTCCGAGGACGTATGAGAGATTTATGGCTGTCTCGAACACAAATTTGAAAAGTGGCAACTCGGGTTTACTTGGCCCAATTACATGTCAAAGGAGTAACTTAGTGCTCAGAATGTCTAGTGGCGTTCAGGTGCACAAATCACCACTGGTGATGGAGCTGGGTGTGCTCAGCTCAGAAGACCACACTGGTCAAAGAACCTACGCGGTATGTTGGAGGCTCACAGTTCTTTTCAGGCTCACATTTCATTCACTGGCTCTGTTTTTGTTTTTGCTTTCTAGAAATTGCCATCGTGAGGAAAATCCAGGGTTATTTTGATGCATGGCAAACTCTCATTATCAAGCCAAACATCTTCTTTAAGATCTCTTGGCTCTACAAAAAGTATGAAAAGCCTGTGTAAGTAGCACACGTCTGAACAATGCATGAGTGCAACTGGACTGGGTTTTGTGTGTCTGTGCTGTTGTTGGCCTCTGGGAAGACTTATGTTCTCCACAGAGCTCTAATGCTTTCGCTGCTGATGAAACACTTAGAGCAATGTGGTGGCTCCTGGCCAGACAGCTTCACAGCAAGGAGCGCAGTGTGTGGTCTGAGAGCTCATCTCCAGAATGAGGTCACTGCTATCTATTTTCAGCTGAAGAGAAGGGTTGCCTAATCCTGTTGTTAATGTTTAGCAAAGCTTTCTTGGCCTATGTAGGAAATTGGAAAAATATAATCAATTTATAATTATGTTGCTTTAACAATATGAAAAACTGACGAGTTCTAAATTATATTCAAAGTGAATATAATGAACTCCAATAAAAAGTGTGGGGGTTTTGCTATATATCTTGTGATTTGGGGGTCCCGAAGCTATCATTAAATAGCTTTGTTTAGTCTGAGACTAGTCCAATAGAAAACTGGACAAATGACCAATAGCCTACAGAATAACTAGAAGGTCTTATGCATGTAAGGAGCCACTAAACACTGCCCTCTAATTATCAGTGGAAAGCTCTTGGGATCCTGAGGCAGAACATCGTGGTTTGCATCTTATCTCCATCACTGAGAAATGAATGGTTTTGGGAAATCATTTCAAGTAAAATGTAACGCACATTCCAGAGTGGGGGCACAGGTTAAAGAGATCATGTATATAGAGCAAGTGGCTTAGAGCACAGCACAAAATCGCCACCATGTTCACAGTGTCCCTGTGTTCATATCTTCCCACAAGGGTCCCTTGGCCATCTTAAATTCTCCACCTCTAAAAGGTCCCAAAGTTATCTGAAATCCCACTTTATCCTTTTTGTGGATTTTGAAATTCAGAACTATTAGTCTCTAGGGAGGAATCCAACTTCACATTGCTTTGCACAGTCTGTGGTTGGTATAGGCAGATAGATAATCTGGATATTAGTTCTTTATACACGTAATTTTGTTCCCACAGAGTCTGTTTTGCCTTGAATCATTTAGAAAAGAGGATTATCTATTTATTTGATTAGGTTTGTTTGTGGTGGCAGCACCAGTGGTCTGAAGAGTCAAATTACCTATTTCTTGGTCATTAGGTTAGCTTTGATCCTGGGGATGGGCCCATCCAAACTTATCACACAAGACTGTAGAAATCAGCTCAGCAACTTTCAGTCTATATGTGACATTTGACAATGGTTAGGGTACTCATTTATATCTCCTCTGCTCTAGAGTAGTAAAACCAAGAGAAATCTTTTAATCCCACCCCACTATTCCCTTTCAATAATGCCAATACTTAAAAAAATATATTTTGAACAGGATACCTGCCTCAACTATTCAATTTTTAAGCATTTTGCCTCTTTCAATTCAAATGTAACAGTGCTGTACTCTTTCTCTTTTAGCAATCTCAAGACTTTTCAGCCACCTAAACCTTAAATAGGTGTTTGTAGAGTGAGCCATCACTGTCTCAGTGAAAAAATGTACTCAGAATTCAAATAAGCCAACTCAAATGCAACCTGTAATAGATGTTTAGAGGTCAAAGCTTCCTATTCCCTGAAAACTGCTGTTGACTGCTGTTGACTGAATTCTCCCAGTTTTGAAGAGCATATGAATACAGAGCATGCATCTATGTAGTGTCAACTTCTCACTTGAACAGGAGCATTCACAGGCCACTGCTGCCCAATCTTGGATGGTAGCGCAGGGAGGAAGAATACTTAGTAGCGGCTGCAGTTCCATGGAAGAACTTTAGGATTCAGAGTCTAAAGCGATTCTGGGGCCAATACTCAGGTAGAAATGCTACCAACACTCTATGCCTATGGGAAAGGAGGAACACATCCCAGCAGCTGAGTGAATATCTGCCCTTCTTATGTACATTACAAATTGCTCAAAAAACATTTAGCTGAATACCTGAATGGAGAGATGAGTGAATGAATGTCAATACATTTTTGGCTAACACCAGCAGAGTTGTGAGTGTGTGTGTTTAGGCAGTCATAGAGATACACAATACACTAACCTTGTTTACCGATACATAATTACTATACCGACTGAAAAAAATCTCTCTCAAAATATTTAAATACCTTCCTTATGATGCCCCAAGAAACTTTAAACCTCAAGTGGGACAGCTGCGACACTGCTTAAATACTCTTTACTTACTTTTCCCACTATCTGCAGTGAGCATTAAGACTATTTATACCGACAACATGCAGAGAGTATTTAAATGTATAGGTGAAAATGCAAACAGGAATGTGTGAGAAAGATTTATTATATGTTTAATGTCATACAGAACAGTTTCTCCTGGGAAAATATAAGTGAACATATACACTTAAGGATAGAAAGAAGAATAACAATTTGGATCTGAAGATGATGTCACTGTCTGTTGGGTCTGATCCGTTCACTTGGAAAGATGCACAAGGCTCACAGGCCAAAAGCAGAAGAGAAGGACCTGGGCTACAACCTTACTGTCTGTCCAAGGGGCTTTTCCTGAGATTGCATTGTCCCAATGCGTAATATACTTGTGCAGGCAAGCACTGTCTCAACAAATACTTACCTAGTACAGAAGTCATACATGACTAAGTGTCATTAACATCAGAGATACTCATTTCACTAAAATTCATTGTCTAGAACAAGAACCTCAAACTTGTCTGTGTGCAGTGTGCATACCTGTAATCCCTGCTACTCAGGAGGCTGAGGCAGAGCTGCAAGTCCAAGGCCAGCCAGGGCAACTTAGTGAGACTCTGTCTGAAAAGAAAAAAGTGAAAAGGAGTAGAGATGTAGCTCAGTCGTAAAATGCCCTTGGTTTAAATCCCAATCACCCAATAAACACACACACACACACACACACACACACACACACACACACTCACAAACCTACAATCTCAATAGCCTTCGGGGACATGCAAATCAACTTTTGCTTATGTGTGGCTGTAAAAAAAACAGAAAATGAAAGTGTTTGTGGTGAAATGAATAGCATATGCTCCAAAGCAAAACATGTGTTTTTAAATGAAAGACTGTACGGGTCGTGTCATTACAAAACATGGTTGGATTTGGCCTTTGGTATGAGCTTTTAACTGTAAAGGCACAGCTCTGATTTTGCTACCAGTACTTGGAAATCTCACTTAACTCTGGTACCTTAACATGAAGTACAGTATAAGTGTATTTGTGAAGGCATGAAATACAAATTCATCTGCCTATGAACACCCATGGCTTCAATTAGAGCAGAATAGTTCACTGATAAAGAGAAAATGAGTCTGTTTTACTATCTGTCTAAACTGAATATAAGACTGCATTTTGACTTTTTTTCCTCCAGGAAGGATCTGAAAGATGCCATCAATAATTTGGTAGAAGAAAAAAGACACAAGGTTTGCACAGCAGAGAAACTGGAAGAGTGTATGGATTTTTCCACGGAGCTGATTTTTGCTGAGGTGCTGACCAGAACTAAACAGTTCCCCGACCAACATATTAATGACCACCTGTGTATAGGGGAGCAAGATCTCCTTTTAAAATTGCTACATATTTCTCTTTTCAAGTATTTCCTTTAGCACTCATACAAATAGCAGTAAAAATTCTAGTAAGACTGAATTGGAAGAGTGAAACTCTTCAGTATCACAACACAAAATAGGAGAGCAGGAAATGGAGAGACCAAAAATACTAATCATTGTCATCCCTCAATAGCCACAGGGCATAGGTTCCAGAACTCTCCCCAGAAACTAAAGCGCAAGGATGCTCAAGTCCCTTGCACAAAGTGGCACCATATATGATGTGACCTGTGCATGTCCTCAGCATACTTTAATCTCAGCAAATGTAAAATGCTGCTTTACTACACTGCGTAGGTAAAAATGATGAGCAAAAGAGTTATTCATGCTCGGTATACCCAGTTTTTAAAAATATTTTCCAGGTCCAGTTGGTTCAATCCATGGATGTGGAACCCAAGGATGTTAAGGACCAACTGGATGTAGATAACTGGCTAAATCCTGCATATTTCAGCTCAAGATTGTCAAGTAACATGTTCATATTCAATGAGAGACACATAATTTCATTGTGTTGAGGGTGTTGATCATCATCTTTTGAGCGTCACTACCATTTATTTTGGACACTTCGACTCAGTTGCCCAAATGTTTCCCTCTTTCAATTGCTCAGAAACGTGGAGAACTCACAAGAGAGAACGTGAACCAGTGCATACTGGAGATGCTCATCGCAGCGCCTGACACCATGTCTATCACCGTGTACTTCATGCTGTTTCTCATTGCAGAGCACCCTAAGGTTGAAGAGGCAATCATGAAGGAAATCCAGGCTGTTGTTGGTAAGAGTTTATCAACTCAACAGCAGCGCTTAAAAACTAAGTCTGAACATCACCTCTTTTGTCCCAAGAATCTGATGTCAAATACAGAATTGTTCATTATTCACTTAGAGAAAAATAAAGCAGATTGTTGTCACACTGACTATGCCATATAGGTTGAAAGACAGTTCTGTTTATTTTGCTTATAAAAATAAGCCGTGCTCATTGAACAACTTCAACTATCATGAGCCATACAAAGCAGAGTGACATGCCCCAGTGCTTTCCACTGTCCTCCTAGCCTCAGTCCCACCACAGGGGTAACCATGCTCAATGTGTGCTGTGCATCCACAGGATCATTTCCTTCGCGCACACAAACACAGATGGGCGGGTTTGTCTGTCTTAAAAGAAGGTGGGATCGTGTCCAATGTTCTGCCGGCATGATCAGTCACAGTAGGCTTTTGTGCAGGCACCAGCAAAACAGCTGTCATTGATAGTAGTGCTTCTAGGTTAGAAGCAGCCAGATCACAAATCAACTTCGAGGTGGTGGCAGCAGGAGGAGGAAAGAGTAACAGCCAAAACAGGTGAGGGATGGGTTTCCTTCTTTGCTCCAGTCCAGGGATGCTGCCCCCTCATCTGCTCGGGAGTTGGCCTCACATCTTTCATGTCCCCCTTCTCACAGCCCTCTGCTTCAGCATCGCCCCATGCCAACTCCTCAGAGAAACATGGCCCCAGTCAGAAGATATCAGACTTGCCTTTGGGGAGAGCACAGAAGTCCATAGAAGGCTTTTTTGGGGGGGGGCTTTTTTTCTGTCCCCTCCCCTCCCCTTCCCCTTTGGCTTTGTTTTTCAGGGCTCAAGCTTAAACCAAGGATCATCATACGGAGCTGGATCTCAAGCTCTTTTGTTTTTCATTTAACACAATGTCTCACTAAGTCACTAAGTTACCTATGCAGGGTTTGACCTTGTGAACCTCCTTGAGGGCTCCAATTACAGTCCAGCCTTGTGCCATGCCGTTTGTATTTCTTGAGGTTCCCAAGATGCTTCAGCAGACCCCTGAATGATGGAGAAAGAGCAGAGCATTTGCACATGTCCATGCTCCTTCCGCGCTCAGCGGACAGATGAGGCCCCTGCACTTCAGCAAATGCCTTTTGTCATTTCGATCCTCTTCCCTTCTGCCTCCCACCCCACTTAGCCACTGCCCACCAGGTCCTCAGCATAAGAGCCCTGCATGGGCGGCAGGGCTCTTAGCCTTGGTACATTGCTCTGGCCACTCCAGACTTTCCTAGGGAGCCTAGTGGCATAGGAGACAGGGATGTCACAGGACCCTGGGTGGGTTCTAATTCTGCAAAAGCAGTGGCCCACTGAGGGTCGTCTGTGACTCTGCCATGGCTGTACTAATCCAATCTTCTTCACTGACATCAACCCAGCCTTAAGAAGAGATGCCCATTCAAACCAAGCATTCCCAGACCCATTTCTGATTTTTCATGAAATTTCAGCTTATCTGTGAAGTCCTCCAGGTTTGAAGATAACTAACTTCATATCTGAATTTCAGTAAGAATCTGTGTAGCTCACATATAGCATACTTGCTTGTGGTTGCCAGGATGCATCAGAAGTATTGACACGATTTCTTCTTCAACCAAGAACTGTTCTGTGAAAGATACAGGAACATCATGCCCACCAGATGTGGAAACTAACGTTACTTTTCTTTTCATTTGTGTCCCCAGGAGAAAGAGACATACAGATTGATGATATGCAGAAATTAAAAGTGGTGGAAAACTTCATCTATGAGAGCATGCGATACCAGCCGGTGGTGGCCTTGGTCATGCGCAAAGCCTTAGAAGATGATGTCATTGACGGCTACCCAGTGAAAAAAGGAACTAACATTATCCTGAATATTGGAAGAATGCATAGACTGGAGTTTTTCCCTAAGCCCAATGAATTTACTCTTGAAAACTTTGAGAAGAATGTAAGAGCCCTTCCTTTAAATCCACTGTGCTACTCTTGACAATATGCGGTGTTAAATCCATTCTGGTTTACTGTGTTTCTACCTATACCTTGAATCTTTTACTGTTTCCCCTGTGCCAACTCCTCCTCCTTTCCCTCACCTGCAACATGGCAGCATATTTGGCACTGCAGACAGGACGATGGGTCTCCAGCTCTTGGACATATCTAAATGGTGGCAATTCACTGGGTAAAAAGTGAAAAATCCAGGCTGTTTTTGATTATGAGGTCAGTTTCACTGAACCTAGGCAATTTGCTTTTCCTTTAAGGAATCACTTTGTTATCATCAGATGTAACTGGAAGACCATTTTAGTAAAGGAAATCCAATCTACTGTGTATGGGACTCAAATGAGACCAAAAGGTTGACTTTGTACACGCTGCCTTTGGTTCATGAAATGTCTCCACGTATGGTATGTCTCTTTCTAAATGGGACGAATGATTACAAGACATTCAGCTTTTGCTTTTTTTTTCCACTTAGTATTTTTATCTTTATTAGTTAATGTTTGCAGTATATAATAATCACATTCCTTATAGTGTGCTGCTACATGTTCATAACACATATTGTATTTACTTCCTCTTCCTCTCTCCTCCCTCCTAGCTTCATCTCATTTGCAAGCATTCTATCTCCTTGTTCGCTGTTATCTATCTTTTCTTTTGTTCTTTATCTGCTGACTTCTTATATGAGAAATCATATGATTTTCATGCTTGTATACCTGAGCTTTACTTAACAGTATAGTTCACGGTGCATCCATTTTCCTACGGATGATTCAAATGTATCTTTCTTATAGTAGAGTAGTACTGCACTGTGTATAAGGACCACATTCTTTACCCATTACTCCACAGATGGATATGTAGTTGGCTTCCAAGATTTAGCTATTACAAAACATGAACGCATGTATCACTGGAATATGATGTTTTTAACTCTTTCTGGAGGATACCAGGAATGGGAATAGCTCAGTTAAACAGAATTTCTATTTTTATTTCTTAGAGGAATTTCCATACTGATTTCCATAGTGGTTGTAGTACTTTATGTCCTAACAATGTACAGTATTCCCTCGAAAATAAGACTTACTGTAATTTTTTGCTCCTAAAGATACAATTAGGGTTATTTTCAGATGATGTCATATTTTCTCATTTACAGCAATCTGCATTTATTCATGTACAAATTTCTATGTTTGTTCATAAACCTAAAGTTACACTTATTCAAATAGAGTCCTGTCATCTTCTTCCAGAACATCATCACAACCTCCAAATCCTGAATTCTAGCCTGAACTTCTTGTGACTCCGTTTCCTACAGAACACAGGTCCCCATCTCATGGCCAGCAATGCAGCTCTCCTTACATGAACACTTCTTGTTCATGTAGCTTGCTGTAGCACAATGGCAACACAGCTGTCAATGATTTTATCCCATTAATTCTTCACCCAAATTATGATGCCTTGTGGGCTGGATTTACAGTTTCCATTAAATCCAGTGTTAAATGAAGACACAGACTGGCAGGAAAAATTGGCAGGAAAAATGATGACAGTTCAGAATGATGTCCCACACAAAAGAGAACAAAAGTTGCAGGTACCAAAGCTCAGAAAATTTTTCCCTATGTCACACAAGTACATGAAGTACGCCATTACAACACATAGTGTACTGAATTAAGAAGATTCATATTAAACCTAACCACATCCATTCATTAAGTGTGCACATGTTGTTCGTTGTGTCTGTGATCTACTTGGTCATTCAGCTATGTCTCCAGTTCACCTGTTCACATAGGGGTTTATCTCTCATGCAAAGGTGTCTGCTGGGGTATTCACAAATATTTAATTATAATTTATATTATCATTTAAGTATTGTCAATGTTTTATACTTCAATACATCTGTCATGTGTTGCAAATGACATACTAAATATATCCATCTGGCTGACAGTTTAAGTGAGGCTTATTTTGGGATTAGAAATTATATTAGAAGACAACTAAAAAAACGATGCTAAGGCATAATTTTCAGTTAGGTCTTATTCTGGGTAAATATGGTAGAATTGTACACTTTCCTAGCCTTGCCAGCACTTATTATTTGATTTGTTGACAATAGCCATTCTTTCTAGAGTAAGATGGAATCTCAGTATTACTTTAATTTACATTTCTCTAAAGGACATGTTGGGTTTTATTTATTTATTTATTTATTTATTTTGGTACCGGGGACTGAACAGGACCTTATGCTTGTGAAGCAGGCAGAACTACTGAGCTAAATCCTCAGTCCATGTTGACCATTTTTTAATACACTTATTGACCTTTTGTATTTCTCTTAAAAAGCATCTATTTATTAAAGTTGCTCACATTTGACTGGGTCTTTTATTTTAGGGGGCCAATTTTGACAGTTACTTAAATAATCTAGATATTAGTCCTCAGCGGTAGCGTAGCTAGTAAAATTTTTCCACTTCTGTAGCTTATCTCTTCACTTTGTTGGTTGTTTCTTTTGCTATGCAGCTTTTTAATTTGATATGATCCCATTTCTTGATTCTTGCTGTTATTTCTTGTGCAATTGGAGTTCTGTTCAGAAAATCTTTGCCTACACCCATGAACTCAAGAGTTTTGAGAACCTGCCTCCCAGTAGGTTCACTGTTTCTGTTTTAATATTTACATCTTTGACCCACTGTTTAGTACATGATGAAACATACAGGTCTAGATTCAATCTTCTATATGTGTATAGCTAGCTTTCCCAGCTCCATTTATTACAAACACTATCTTCCCTCCAGCATATCTTTCCGACCCTTTGTCAAAGATCAGATGGTTGAATGTGCCTGAGTTTGTTTCTGCATCCTCTGCTCTGTTCTACTGATTCACATCTGTTTTTGTGCCTGTACAATGCTGTCTTTATTTATTTATTTGAGTAGTGGGGATTGAACTTGGGACTTTGTACTTGTGAGGCAGATGGCAGAACCACTGAGCTAAATTCCTGGCCCTAGGGTTTTTTTGTTTTTGTTTTTTTTTATCATGAATGGATGTTGGATTTTGTCAGAGGCTTTTCCTGCATCTACTGAGATTATCATGTGAATTTTTTGTCCTTGCTTCCGTTTATGTGTTGTATTACATTTATTAATTTGTGTATGTTTGCATCCCTAGGATAAGCCTACTTGACTTATGATCTTTTCGATGAGTTGAATTCTCATTTTCAGTATCTGATTGAGAACTTTTATCCGATTGAGAACTGCTAGCTTCCAAGAAGAAACTGCTCAGTATGCCTTCCTTTTCCATTTCACTGAAGATTTTGAGGAAGATTGGTGTTAAACTTCCCCTGGAGTTCTTGTAGAATCAGTTGTGAATCCATTTTGATTCTGAGTTTTTCTTACTTTGTATGTTCCTTATTACTACCTTAATTTCATTGCCTTTTAGTGGATTATTCAGGCTTTTCATATCTTCTCTCATATCTTCTTTGCTTAACTTTGGTAACTTACATGTATCTAGGAACCTATTTCTTCTGTATTCTTCAATATATCAGAGTACAGTTTTTTTGAAGTAGTGAATTATAAGCTCTAAGTCTTAGTGTCCTTTGTAATTTTACCTTTTTCATTTCTTATTGCACTGATATAGGTGTTTTCTTTCTGCATTTTTTGTAAGACTTGTTAAGAGTCTGTCAATTTTGATTATTCTTTGAAAGAAACAACTCATTGATTCAATGATTCTTTGTATTGTTTTGTAGTCTTGATTTCATTAATCTCTGCTCTGATCTTTATAATTTATGTCCTTGTATTAACACTGGATTTGGATTTCTTTTGTTTATCTAGGACTTTGGGGATACATCATTCAGTTATTTATTTGGGCTTGCTCTGCTTTTCTGATGTGGGTATTTATAGTATAAACTTCCCTATTAGGCCTTTTTCAATTGTAATCAATAGATAGTACTATGTTGCTTTGGAACTATCCTTTCATTCTAGGAATTATCTAATTGCTTGGTTTCCACTGGTATCCATTGATTATTTATTGTTGAGTATATTGTTGAGGGCTAGGGATTTAGTGAAGTGGTTCCACCACGTGCCTTGCAAACTCAATGACTTGAATTTGATCCCCACCCCACCACATACCGAAAAAAAAAAAAAAGTTGAGCCTCCATGTGTCTGCATCGCTTCGATGGTTTCTTTTGCCACTGTATTCTAGTTTAATTAAGCTATGATCTGAAAATGTACATGGAATAATTTTGATTGTTTCATATTTACTGAAGCCTGCTTCATGTACTGGTCTATTTGGGAGAAAGTTTTGTTCTCTGCTACAGAGAAGAATGTGTATTCTCTTGTTGGGTGAAGCATTCTACAGTTATTAAATCCATTATTGGAAGGTATGGTTCAAAATTGGTATTTCTTTCTTGAAATCCTGTCTAGTTGGTATGTTTGTGATAGTGGGGTACTGAGGTTCCTCACTATAATTGTGTTGATGTCTATCTGATCTTTTATATCTAGTAGAATTTTTTATGACATTGCATGCTCTGGTGTTTGCTGTATATATGTTTATGACAGTTGTCTCTTCCTGTTGAATTGTTTCCTTAGCCACTATGTGGTGTCCTGTGCCTCTTCGGAACAGTTTTGGCTGGAAGCACACATTGTCTGCAATAGGATATCTACTTCTACTCATTTTCAGGCTCACATTACATGTAATACTGTTGTCTTTTCTCTGATTTTTAGTCTTTAAATTTCTTTTTGAATTAAATGTGTTTCTTGTACATAGCATAACATTCAGTTTCATAGTTTTATCCAGTCTGATGTTCTGTGTCTTTTGATTAGGAAGTGAATTCCATTCACAATGACAGTTATTACTGAAAGGTATTGACTTCTTCCTCTCATTACATTATTTTCCTCTATCTGATTTCTTTTTTCCCCTCTTCTGCTTAACAACTTACCACACCCAACACATTCATTTTGCTCCATTTTTGGACAGCATTCATTTTACTGTCTCTATCTAGAATATCCTTGAGTATTTTGGGGAGTGCTGTTTTGGTGGTCTTGAATTTTCAACTCTTTTATATCACTGATGAATATTAGGGATTTTGCCTCCATTATGTTGAAATTTAGGTGACAGAATTTTTAGGCCTAAGTGTCGTGTTTTTCCCGTCACCTCATTGTATATTCAGACTAGAAACACAATGTTAATCTACTATGCTAATTTAGCCTGTTTCTACAGAGGCAATCCAGATGATGCTATGTATACCAACAAAAATATATGAGCAACTATTATATGCCAGGGATACTGTGAACATGACAAAAACATGTGATGCTCATTGATTTTCAGCATGACCAAAAATAGTGTGACATGCCAGAAATCCACATGTCCTGCCTGCATTTGTCCATTTTCATCGGGTTATTTAGCATCTTATAAAAATAAACTTTGTCTTGGTGTCATACAACTGCCTGCTCTATAGAGCTGGCCTGGCTTCCCAACATTATTTATAATATGCTGATTTGCATCCCTTTACTGCAGCTCACTTACATCAAACACAAAAGTGGAAACTCTGAGTTGGGTCTGTACCACAAGAGGTAAATCTCTGGATAAGAAAAGGGCTTATTTCGTGTGACTCTTGTGTCTCAGTGAAGGAACAGCATGCACGGCTGAGACCCCTAAATTAGCTAAGTGTTGGGGCTGACCAATGTCTTCACAATGAATGAGACACTGTATCACAAGACTCTGGCCTTTCCAGTGTGGTAATTGTTTCATCAATTCTTTCTAGGTTCCTTACAGGTATTTTCAGCCCTTTGGCTTTGGGCCCCGTAGCTGTGCAGGAAAATACATAGCCATGGCAATGATGAAAGTCGTCCTGGTGACAATTCTGAAACGATTCCATGTGAAGACCTTGCAAGAAAGGTGTGTGGAAAGCATGCAGAAAATAAATGACTTGGCCACACATCCAAATGAGATGGATAACCTGCCGAAAATGATTTTTACCCCAAGAAATTCAAAGAAGTGACTCAAACACTAAGGAAGGCTGGTCGGTACCTAATCTGCAAAATATGTCATCAGTTCACATAGGAACCATCATTGTTCAGGTAGTGTCATCCTCATAGTGAACACTCCAGGCCCAAGATGTTACCTACACCTACCACCTATGGCACGTCAGCATGATGAGAACCTTCCTTCAACCTTCTACCCTTGTCCAAACCAGAGAACCCAGGTGCAAGAGAAAGGAGTTTGTGGGAGAAGTGGTCAGTGAACACAACGCAGCACTAAATGATCATCTCCACAACATGTGCAACTACACATGGGAAGGACAGGGCATCAGCAAAACCTATGCTGGATCCCCACTGTGCTCAGCAATGTCTGAGCAATTGGGGCCAAACATACCTGTTGGGGTGGATAAAGGAATTTCCACTTCTCTTTTAGTGGCCAGGATGGCAACAACAATCATGTCCATTGAATACTCAGAAATTCGGCATTTGACTTTTACAGAGAGTTATGCCAGTTACCACATACATGTCCACATGTGATCTTTCTGTGGTGAAAGTCAAGTCCCTTTAGTCTCTCAATTCATGCCTCAAACACTACCTACAAAAGTAGGTATAGATTTGGGTAACACAAGCAAACTTAGTGACAGCCAGAAAAAAACACGACTCGGACTCTATGCATTAGTGGAAAACAAAACACAATGTACTTCAAATTCAATAAAAATCCTTTTTTGTGTTTGCACTATTGTTTAGCTGTATTAGTGTGGCTGAGACATGGCTTTCAAGAGTGACATCACTCTTACATGGCCTCAGTGGTTTCAGGGAGGTACAGTCCTGTAAATCCATGTCTGCAGCTACAGTCCAGTATATTCTGCCTTCTAAGGAGTGCTGCTCTCTCTCTTATTATCCTTTCCCTTGACACTGTCTCCCACCCTTTCTTTCCATCGCCCCAAAAGTCACAGTTGAAAGATCAGTAGAACCCCTGTACATCATTTCTTAAATCCGACCTCTGATTTTTAGAGATTTAACAAGTATCTAATCCATTCAATCATTGTGTGTAGCCACGAATAAAATGGACACCTTGGAATTAGCTCTCTAGAAGGAGTCAATAAATGGGTTAATTTGAAAAAACCATTTTGCTTGTCTTTGTCATTCTGAGTGCATTTACTGTAAGTTACTTGAAAAATTGAAAAATGAAACCCATTTATTAATGTTTAAATGTTTCCACTGAGTCCCTGGGCACCACATCCCCTCTGAACACTCTCCTCAGCCTACTACTTAGCAGTAAGACAACAGCTGAGCAGAAAATGAGGTAAGCATTCTAAAACCTGAGCTCTGTCTCTCTTTTCCAAGTCATCTCCATCTCATCTCTGTATGCTCTCTTTGTAGTTACTGTCAAGATCAGTTCCAGATACAGTCTTGCTTATAGACACTCTCAAGTGATCTAGAAATCCAGTAAAGAACAGGCAAGTGTTATTCAAATTCAAGGAAGAGCACTGAGAAATAAGGAAATAATGAATTATTTAATTATGAATAAGATCTAGAAATACACAGAATATGCTGTGTACCTGAAGAGGTCTACAGTGAGGCCTAAAGTGTTTTCTAAGTCATTTAGAACCCTGAGAGAAAGGCCTGGACTTGAGAGGTGAGGACTCCAAGATAACCTAATTGAAGATTATTAATGAACAATTTACATTGCCTTTGGTTAGAGCTCCAAGTTAAAGGAAAAGAGAATTTTCATCAGTTTCCTTCACCCACCCAATACTCTTGGAGGATCTACATGTATTGTGTGTGTGTGTGTGTGTGTGTGTGTTTGTGTGTGTACACACATACATAACCAAGGCCTATGTGCATACAGTGAAATGATGGGTCTAGGTAAACGCACACATGTAATGCAGACAAAGAAAATTAGTGGAAAACTGTGAATTAGGTGGTGGGGTACATGGAGAGGACAGGAGGAAGACAAGAGCTCCTTTGAATGATCCAGCAGACGTTTCTAGAATCTATGCATCTGGGTAACTACTGAACTTTTCACTCTGTTTGGCCTATGCAAACAAATCCCAAGTTCCTTACACTTGTCCTAGAGAATTTAAAATAACTTTGGCTTTTCAAGTAAGCTCATGGATGAGTATTTGAAAAGCAGAATTGTGCCTCACTGTTAAGTACTTCACTGTCATTCTGGAATGTATTGGAGATTATATTTTCAGCAGCTCTCAAAGAAATGGGATAAGAAATTTTTTGGACCTTCCTCTCCTCCTGTATGTTTTGGGCTCTGCAGCACTGTCTGTGACCTGAACTTGTAGAGAAATTCGCTAATTTTACCTTGGTAATGAGTCACATGCAATTTGCGACACTTATACAATCATTTCATTTAACTCTCCAAACAAGACTATTGTCCCAACTTTATAGAATTACACATTTCTCAAATATTTTTATTCCTCTTATCTGCTTGGTAGTTTCCCTCTCCTACCTACACATGGAGCCAATATCAGTTTCTGTTATCAAACTCTTCCCTCAAAAATTTCTTATCTAACCAGGAGTGGTGGTACAACTCTATAATACTAGCATTCTGGCAAGCTCAGGAAGGAAGATCAAAACATCAAGATAAGTTGGACAACATAGCAGGAACCTGCTCAAAATGAATTTTTTAAACTTACAGAAAGACTGGGGATGTAACTCGGTGCAAAGGCCCTGGATTCAACTCCTAATACTGCTAAGTGCATTAAGAAATTATTATGCTAAATTTATATGCCTAAGTTACACACCACAGCAAAGGTTCAAAATGTTGTTCTCCCCTCCGGGGGAGATTTTTTATTTTCTAGGGAACTGTACAAATGAACTATGGGCATCAGAAAGCTGCCTAGTGAAAAGGAAGAAGGTGGAAAAGGGCAGGGAAAGAAGATCGTGCCTTCCAGGTACCTCTAAAATGATACTTCCCACGTCACCCACATGTGAAAGCTGGTTGTGCCTTTGCACTGGTGTTTAGGTGAAAAGTGTTCCCAAAAGAGAATATCCAGAGGCCCAAGCAGGTAACATGCGTGGGATGATCAGGCTGGCGTAAGTAGAACCTGTGGGAGAAAGAGAAAATAACACCTACAGGCATTTAAATTCTGAAAACAGTGCCAGCCACATCACCCATGTCCTTGACCTGAATTGAGCCTATGCTTTAAGGGCTCTCCTATCGATTCATTTTGGACCCAATGCTCTGTTTGTACCTCAACCCTCTTACCCACCCACTGCTGAAAGCAGACAAGTCCCACTGTGCTGATACAGAAAGTGAGGCACAAAAAGTCTAAGCATTTTGTCCAAAGGGGTAGGCACAGCACTGCCCCAGAGAGCCAAGACCAGGAGCTGCTTCATTTCACCTGACTTTGCTTCTCTTCATTTGTGCACATCCTCAAGATGATTTTAGGTGCCCTTTCACCTATCCCAACCTCAGGAGACTCATCTGTAAGTATGGGTTGCACCATAGGGTCTCTAGGTCATTTCCAATGGGTTCATTAAGGTGCTATTTTGCTTCATAAGCATAACATTACTTTCCCCCTAAGCCCTAATAGCAAATTTAGTGTACAAGATACTGTCACTGGAAGGTCAAAATGCCATTCGGTCACCGAAGGGTTGCTTGGGCATCCATTGTGCACCAACTGGTAGAGGGTCAGCCCCAAACACAACTGTCTGTAGCCCTAACTTACTGATGCAGAGGAATGAGGATGTTCATGGAACATGTTTGTCTTACACATATGTACATTATTGCCTATTTGTTCTTATGGGGCAATCAGTATAGCTGCAAACTACCTATTTTTAAAAGTCAGTCCATACTCTATTCAATTGAATCACCAACAGCTCAATAGTATCTCCTTTAACTGCTGAAATTAGCACTTTTTCTAGAAAAAGTAATCCATCTGCCATGACCTTTCCCAAATGCAACTGGTCACCCTTTTACTCCTCATGTAGCTTTAGAAACTAAAGACAAGCAAAGAGAAATGAACCCTCACTTTGGAGAAATCCCTGCCTCTGGTCAAGCAGGAATGCCCGGATAACATCTGCATAAGATCTTTGAGGGAAGTCATGAGGAGAGAATTATTGTTAATCATTAAGAAGATACACTGATTATCGCATTTAAACTTCCAGTATCGTGCAAAGTACTGCTGATCTCCCACTTTGCAGGTATAAAACTTATTGCCAAAGTGTAACCTGCCCACACTCACTCAGGCAGAAAAATGAATTGCCTTGGTTTTTCCAAAGATCAACAAAGCTATGCTTTTTGCTGTAGGCGACACTACACCTGGGATTCGGTGCTTTGTGAAGTCAACTATAATAAAGGGAGGAATGCCTGCAATTCGCAGGAGGCAGGGCAATAGTGGCAGCCAGCACTCACAAGTCCAAACCAATAGAGCACACTAACACTCACTCCATGGAGGCAGTGGACACCTGCCCTAAGGGTCAGCTTGAGCCCTGGAGAATGGCACCTGTGACATGGGAAAGCTGAATTCACAAGATTGGGTGAAACACTCCAGCACCTGGCTCATAGGAGAAGGAGTCATCCAGCAGGCTGAATGGTGATGGGACTACCAGCCAGCAGTGAGCACAATGAGCCAGGCAGAGGGCAGCACCAGAAAGGGGACAGACAGTATGTGAGAGACAAAGGCAGTTGAATTCTGTGGCAAGAAAAGAGCTCAAGCATATGAAGTTTTGCCTTGGAGAGGGTCTTAGTTTGGGGCCTTGCTGCAGGGACCAACAGAAGGAAGGCTGGGTGCCCAAGGCTACTAATCCCAACAGCATCCCAGCTAGCAACCCCTTGCCTCTGCTGGGAGGCATTCAGAGGAAATGGGGCATTTTGCAACACTGGCAGCCAAACCTCTAAGAGTAGGGTCTGGTAATCCAAGGAGCTTTGGCCCATAGCCCTAACTGGCCCGTGGCCTAAGTGAAGGAGAGATTGGGTGGACTGCCTAGGTGTCCCCAGCACCCACAGTCCTAGGTACTCAGGAGGCTGAGTGGCAGGTGTGGGCCAGTCCAGCTGGTGGCAGACCTGCCCAAGTGGTCATCTGCTACCAGAGGGGCAGAGCTCAGCCTCCACACTGACCTCATTGGTTTTTTCCCTTCTTGGGCAGAGGCACAGAAGGAGAAAGCTATAGTTTAAATTTCTGAGAAAAAAAAAAGAAAAAATTTTCATATCCCCCTTTAATCAGACAATGTCCAACAACAAAATTCCGGGGAGAGGTTCTTCATTAAAAGCACCCACAAGGAGGAACAGGGATCAGATGTTTATGCTTTTGTTTTCTTTTTCTATGGGCACGGGAAAGCTTATGTGTTTCTGTAAAGGCATATAAGTGTAAGTTACTCCTTTGCTTCTGCTGTGTCTGTTTTGTTCTGTTCTCCCACAGCAAGAGTTGTTTCACAGAGTTTTCTAACTTTGTGCTTCTGCTAGTTCACCAATGGGGTTCAATCTCTGCATATCTTCTTATTTTCGACTCACGTTCCCTTCCCTTCTTTCATTCCTTTCCCTCCCATACCCTCTCAAATCTCCCATCTATTCCCCTTTCATTCATATATAAGATATATATCATTTCAATACTTTTCCTCATTTTTATTGACCTTCTACTATTACTCTTCCTTCCTTTTTCTAGGTTACTGAAATGTTATAGGACATGTTTCAGTACC